TTGTTTTTTCAAATTTTGGGGTGGCGCCAACCCTAGCCCCCCTTGGTCAGCCCTTGGCACTAAGGTGATGTTTGGTTGGGAGCTTTTCAGCGGATATCTATCTTTCTCAAGTATGGCTTTTTTAGAAATACCATGTTTGTTTCAACGTTTTTCACCAAAAATCCATCTATCCAATTTGTCTGGATTTATGAGAAACATAGATATCTGCATTGTTTAGAAACCCAATTTGAAGGTGGGATTTTTCGAAAAACCGGTTATCTGGCTTTTAATGCACTGTTGATTTCATAAAGTTACCTAATTTTCCCAGTAAAGTTTTTCCCCACCAAACAACTTTTTTTTACATTTTTCTACCTATCTCACTTTATCTATCTTTGCAATCATTTCTCTATCTATCTTATTTCTCTACTATATTACAAAAAAATTTCCTGAACCAAACGCCCCCTAAGTATACTCATATACGTATGAAATTCCCAAAATATTTCAAATTCCATGCTATAATGCTATATTTCCCTCAAAATCAACATAGACTACTGGAAAATATCTTCTATACATATGTGTTACACGTATCAGAGCTGCAAAAACAACAAATTTGGATTGAAAGAGACATGAAATGAAAAAGTACCTAACGACCAAGAACCCCAGTACCCCAATCAGAAGGTCTTGTTGTCCAATTAAACGAGAAGTGGAAGGTCCCGATTCTTCAATGGGTGCACCTTATGAGATCTACAAATGATTAGCCACAACTAGCTATTAAAGACAAAGAAAAAGAACTATGGTGAGAGGTGAGTAGTGGAAAGAAAATAGTTAGATTCTATATATCACTTTTGGAAGGGGCTTAAATATTTATGTCTTTGACTGAATTAATCCCATAACCGATTTGAAGAGTCAAAACTTGTGGAGATATCAAAAGAAGCCTACTCGCGAAGTAATTAAGGTCACGTAATTCACAAAAAAAAAAAAAAAAAAAAACATTGAAAAAAATGTTGACTTTAAAGCCCAAGAGTGAGACTAACAATTTCTTGGGCTTACAACACGGGATCCATAATGCCCAAACTAAAACTGTCTTTAAAGCCCACAATGCGGGCAGAAAAAACGAGACCCACTCCCCTCATTCTTCAAAATATATATATATATATATATATATATATATATATATATATATATATATATATATGCCACTTGGATTGTATCGTTTTCCCAGTTTATATTGGTACCTCTTAGTTTATTCATTATTAAAATTTGTTCTAAGATTAAAAAAATTGTCACAGCAAAGCATACCATAAAAAATTATTAGAATAAATACTTGGGAACAGGAGGCTAGACCTAGAGGCCTAGAATTATAGAAAGAAGGGAAATAGAAGTAGTTCAAATGTCAAATGGGAACCCCAATTCAGCCTATTGCATAATTCGACGGTCAACCAAAAAAGAAGACAAACAGGTAATTAGCGGATCTTGCTGTGCCACCTCATGTTCCAGAGTTTCCTTATGCAGATGGACATGACACCCATATATCTTCCATTTTATGCAATGCTTATCTGTCGCCAACTAAACACAATTTTTTCGACCTACTTATAGTATCTAAAATTGGGAAATTTTTAAAGTGATTCGGGATCACTTTTTTTTTTGTTGTCCTTTTTTTATTTTTGGAAATTTTTTCTTCCCTCTCAATCCTTCACTTTTTTAAAAATTTCTTCTCACTTTTTATTTTTTGTTATTTTGGAACGGACTCACATGTACCCGGCTCACTACAACAAATCTCCTAAAATTGATTAACATACTTTTTTAATAATTAAAGCCATTGGGTTTTCGTCTCAACTAGTGAAATTAGGATGTGATGTATGGTGGTTTGAATTCATTTTCTCATATTCAAGAGTTTGTACTTCTATTAAAAAAAAACCCCTATACTATCTTAATAAACTCATTCAATTCTCTTAAATGTATATCTTGTCAAATATCATACTTATTTTCTCAAATATTTTTCCACCTATTATTCAAATTGTACGCACGTAATTGTGTTCTACGTCCAATAGTTATATCATTAATTCTGTGTTTTCATCGATGAAGATTAAGGCGCACAACTAATTTTAATTCCCCATGTGACCTCTATGTGAGGGTGGGGAATAAATTGTTTCATGTATGGTTTAACTTCGCCTTTGACTATAAACATGTAAACCTACAAAAAAGGAAACCTAACAGACAAATAGAAGATACATATTTGATACTGAAAGCGATTGTGAATCCAGTTGCAAATTAAATAAACCCTGTTCATTTTCTTCCGGAGCAATTCAACCCGAATTTTCAACAAAATGAAATGTTAATAAAAGTTTCTGGTCAGCTTTGTTGCCTATCTGCACACAACACACGGGTAAATTAGCAGATTAATTTGTGTCCATCTAATGTTTATTTAAGATAGGTATGAGACGGCTATCAAAAAAAAAAAGATAGGTACGAGACTTGGTCATTTGGCTGAATGACCAAACACACTTGTTCAATTCAATTGCTTTGCCGTTCAACTGATTACGACTAATATACGTATCACATAAATATGTATTAAAGATAGAACTTATCCCACTGTGACGTTAGTAGATACGCCATTCATCAATGTTCTTGATTTGAGCGACCTATAGTTGAATTCATGAAGGTTCCGTTGGAAAGCAAATAGTCATATATATATATATATATATGGATTTAGCCTTCTGGTTTCTTGTTGATGGTTCAATTATATATATATTGTTGAGATATATAAAATTATTAAAAAAGTTCTCACTCATCGGCTTAAGTTTTTGGGTTGAATTGGTTCTTTACATGGTATCAGAGCCTCGTGTCCCGGTTCAAACCTCGCCGCCCCCACTTTCTCTTGTGAAATTTCTTTGTTCGCACAGGTAGGTGGGCCTGTGCATTGTTTACCCTTCAAGCCCAATAGACTTCCGTATAAGGGGGTGTGTTGAGATATATAAAACCATTAAAAAAACTCTCATCCACCAGCTTAAGCTTTTAGGTTGAATTGGTTCTTTACATATATATATATATATATATATATTTTAATTGTCAGCAAATGGTGCACCGAAGAATGGAAGGTTTTATTAATCATAATCCTAAAGTTAGCCAACTCAAAGACTAGCAAAAATTAGACTGAGCCAATGATGATAGGCACATTTGGTCAAATTTTTCTTTTGTCCATATTAATTGTGATTTAGGTTCAATTATTAGTTTTTCTTATTGGTAAGTGATTGTCTTCCCTAACTTTTTAAGTGGGCGTATCTTTCTTTAATCTAAATTTTAATATATAAAAAATAGACTGAAAGCATATTTAAATTTATAATGACAAAAAAGAAAATTTGAAAGAAGAAAAAGGAGATTCTTTTATTCTCTTGCACTTTGTTTAGACCAATAATCTATTTTCCCTTTTTTTTCTTTCTTTCTTTCTATATAAATAAAAGAACAATAGAAAGATTGATTGTCTGTTAAATCACAAATTACGCAGCATCCTTAGCTTTGGTTAGGTTTTGATGTTTCATGGAAAGTTAAGTATGATTGATTGAACGTATTATTGGATTCTTTCTTGGAGGGGGGGTTCACATCATTTAAATAAGTGGGATTTCATTAAAGATAAATATTAGAATAATTAAAAGATACTTATAAAATTTCGCCAAAGAATACAGTATCCCACATTTGCTTCCGCTACCCCTTCTTCTATGACCCACCCAAAAAAAAAAAAAAATCAAAGGAAAAGAGAAACTTATAGAATGTGGAGCAGCCACACGCAATTTATCGGATATATATGACTGCTAGATATAGTAATTAAGTTGACCAAATTGGCTACTTGAATTTTGCAATGCCTATAAGGCTATAACACAATACTGCTCTATAATGAATGTGTATATATGTTAATGTATTGTAACATCATTTCCCTTAGTTTATCTTCAAACTGAAGTGGAAGGTGCTGCAGAGAAGATGTACACAACTCAAGCAGTCAATAAAGCTATATATTGTTCCTTGGTCTTAGTTATTTTCAATATAAAACTTTAAAATTTGATTGAACCTTGGAAATTAATGTAATTATCTGATTCCCTCTTTGGATCCTCTCTATCTTAAGTTTGAAAATTATCCAGAAGTAATTAAAAAACTGACCAAAATCCCATCCTTTTGTTTTCTGGCAAAAGAATGCAAAATCACATTTGTATCTCTAATTGGAGCAGAAGGATACACTTGTAATTTTTTTTTAAAATTAATTATACTTCAAAAGTCTTTTTTTAAAACTCACTTAATATTAATCGGACGACAAAAATTTTGATCTTTTCCCCGCGGGCATCGCCCGGTAGTATACTAGTTTCTTTCTAATTGAAATGGTTATTGTTACTAGAGTCTGATAGCCTTTACTCAAAACATTCTTACTAGCTAAGCTCAAGTGATTAAATACTCTCTTTCATTTTTCGTATATAAGTCATACAAAACGCAAAAAATCATTAAATGAAACAAAGGAGAAATTACAAATTCAATACCTTTAAGATGTCGTTAATTAATATAAGCGCACGTGAAAATGGAAAGAGTATAAAAATCAAACGTGCAAAAAGTAATATATTGTGTTCAGAGTCATATTACAGATATTAGCTCCTCTTCTCTATTTCTCTTATCCTCTATTATACCAACCAAAACCTTGATTTTCAAAATTCATTCAATCATGATAAGGGAGAAATCAAAATATGATTGTTTTATATAGGTTCTACATCACTGCCACGTAGGAAAATCAATCTTATTCTGTAACCTGAACTTACCAACTGAGCTAGAAAGCGTTACATGCAAGGAACGTTTCTAAAGGGACAGGACCACATCCTAGTGATGGATGTAATGTAACACTTATGTATCAGTCCTCTGGCCCCATAATCCAAGATTACAAGAGCCAAGTTATTGAGCTGGCAACCCAAAATATCATTTTGTTTGAACCTTGAGAAAAAACATATCAAATATTCTAACATAGAATATAGACTATTAGCTGTGTGTCTCATCACATTCACACCAACTATCAAGCAACTCTTCAAACCAGCTAATACGTGCAGGGAACTCCATCTCATTTGTTTTTACACCTTTCTCATTCCTTTGGTTCACCCTGAAGTCCAAATCCATCTATATATATATTAGCACATCATTGTTCAACTATCCTTATCTCCACCACCACTCTGTTTCAAGATAGCCACTAAGTGTGTACTACTAGTACCTTCCATTTAAACCTAGCTAATAAGCTAACTCACAGAGCAACACATGGCTTCTACAGACAAGCCTGGGGACCCTGAATACAGATCATCATCAGATCCAGCTCCGGTTGGTGTTGATTACTTTCAATTTGATGTGATACTCAGGTTTCTGTTGTTTGCAGCATCACTGGTATCTGTAGTGGTTATGGTCACCAGTGATCAAACAGAACCAGTGCTTTTCCAAGGTAGGCCTGTGCCAAGGCCAGCCAAGTTCAGATACTCACCAGCCTTTGTGTAAGTTGAAAGTTATTCAAATTTTTAGCAGATTCACTACGTTTATTATAAGTGTTTGCTATATGCATGCGCCTGTCAATTGTAGTTGTTTGTAATATATGAAATATCTTTTCATGAAAAATGGATTTGAATATTAAGCTTATCCACCTTTCCTTATATGGTTGATTTTTTTTTCCCTTCATTTATTTTAATTTATGAGACGTAACCAAGGATGTAGGAGTATCAAATTTTGCGCTTCTTGTTCCAGCTAGTTAAATTGCTATACAAATAAAAAGGCAAAAAGACAGATATTACTTTCCAATGTTTCAGCAATAATCAGATTTTGTCTCAAAGGAAGAAGCCAACGCTATGTTTGATTTGTTTCCTATTTGTAGGATTTTTCTTTCAAGTATTTAATATACCATTATAAAGAGCTTCATATGGGGAAAATTGATGTTTTCTACTTATGAACATGCATTAAATTTTCAAACCGCTTTCGTGCTTCGTAAGCTATAATTATTTACTTTATGTTATCTTTTGTACCTGCTTCTCTGTAGCATAAAAAACTTGATATGTTGTAAACTACAAAAATCCTTTTGAATGCTATAAGGAAGCAAAGTCGTGCATGATCGCTTTGCTTAGGTCGAGTTAATTATTTTCTTGCATGTATTTTTTTATTTTTTTCTGTTGTATTTTTCTGGCGTCACACTCTTCAATTTTTTTTTTATATATTTTTAGATTTATAGATAAAAAATCTTCCATTTACGTACACTTATAATTTATTGTAAGGGCTTATTCTTACAGACAACAACTTTTTTAAAAAAAAAAACAAGTCTTCTCAATATTACTTGTTATTGTCGATTTGCAATTTGACATATAATATGATATATGCATATGCAGATATTTTGTTGCTGCATTATCCGTTTCGGGGCTTTATAGTATCATTACAATTCTTGCATCACTCTCTGTCATTCAAAAGCCAGACCTCAAAACGAAGTTCCTCCTCCATTTTATCTTCTGGGATGCGGTAATTAATCAATTAACCTTTCTTTTCATCTTCACTTCTCAACTCACTTGCTTTCTATATATAACACATAAATAATTTATTATGACTCTACGCAGCTGATATTGGGGATAATAGCCTCAGCAACAGGCACAGCTGGGGGTGTGGCATATTTGGGTTTAAAGGGAAACAACCATGTGGGTTGGCCTAAAATTTGCCATGTCTACGACAAGTTCTGCAGGCATGTTGGTGGCTCCATAGCTGTGGCTTTGTTTGGCAGCGTTGTGGTTGTCTTGCTCATCTGGCTCTCAGCTCACAGCATTCATAGTCGCATCCCCAAGTAGATGGAAAAAAAACATTGATCATTTCGCAGATACATGCACTCTATTTCATTGTTACATTGTTTACTAAGTTTAGCAGTGTGTTAAGAAATTATTAGTGTGTGAATGACTTCTGTGTTTCTGAATATTGTGGCTCCAGTACGTGTTGATATTTGTAAATGATAGTTTTCCACCAAGAACCTTGGTTGTATTTTATCTTTCTACTCGTGCCATAAATGATTTGTAATTATTCTGCTCCCACCAAAATTATATTTAACCGAGAAAACGTTTGTATGATTAATGATTAGTACTGCAATTGTGTAATTATCAGTGCATGCTCTTGAGTGACAGTAAAATTATGTTCACTCATATAATTTATTTTTATTTTTAATTTCAGTTTATTATTAATGAATTCAAGAAATAAAGTGATGGACCCCACCATTATTTAAGGTTGAAATGTTAAAAAAACAAATGAAGTGAGCATTTTCTAAGTGGCGCTCCAGCGTCATGCACTAATTTTTCTCTTAGTTGAGATTATTCTCATATAGGAAGTGTAATCTGAAAGTGAGTAATGTACAGGGCATAGCAGACTGACTAGATTAAGGTAGCGCATGAAGCTAGAATGTCATGTTATTGATGCATTCAAGTTATTGGGAGTGGAAGCCAATGCCGCAATTCCTGAGGGTTAAATATTTTTTAACCACCAAATGAGCATTTTCCCTACACAGCCAATGAATTTTCCACAACAATTGAAAGGCTACATTCAGCCAGTGAATAATCAAGGACGAAGAGAAAATGTTAACAGTAGATACAGATGATTTTACAGCACTTAAAGGTGCTGGTTTTCTGGTCACTATGAGCCTGAGAATCACTCACAAGAAAGGTCTAATTGCAGTATGAGTGTAATTACAACCAAATCTGCCTAAAAAGTAACATCACCAATACCTTCATGCCTTCTTTTCATTTTATGAGGTGATGCTATAAACCAAGTTAGTGAACACTCGGTTATATACAATGAGATATGGAGTTCAACTGTGCCATGCGAAGAAGATAATAAGCATCGTAACTTATTATTGTCTTGTCTTTGATGACATATATTATACATGTATTATTACCGCGGAATTTTAAAAACAAAAATAAAAACACAACTGATAGATGGTAGATACTAATAGTATAGTGTATATATCCCTATAACTATACCATTCTCTGGGTAATCTGGCAGGACCAAGGTATTGACGTATGACCAATAGCAGAGATCTGAACACGTAAAACCTCATGAATAGTACCTCGGCGAAGCACTCCCAAAATATGCTCATCATCTTCTGTTGCCAAATGTGCCAAAGAAACCCATCGAGAATGTGACTCATCCCTCATACGGAAGCCATAGTACCATCTACCAACTTTCCACCACTTGACGCATACATGCCTATCTGAGATCTCACAAGTCCGAAGAGCTTCTACAAGATTATCTCCCTACCAATGAAGACACTTGGATATCAAATACATATCACTCTGGTCTTGTCATTCTAAAGGTTAGCCCAACACTATAATTTTCGTATCCTTTCCATCATCAAGGCTGAAATGCTAGATGTTTAACAGACAATGAGAATCAGAAAACCAATTAAGACCAACCATGTTCACACGCATCTACATAACTTGATCCTCTTGGTTTTCTAGTTAAGGGCCCAAAACGAAGTCCGCATAATTATAAGCAGACAAAAATAAAATTAAATATTGGATGCACTACACTATCTTATATAGCAATTTCCATGTAAAAACCTTCTTGGGTAGAGGAAAAAAGAAGTGGCAAAATATATATTACCAGATCATGCCTCAACTTTATCCTCTCTATTTCTCATATTTCTATCAAAGGAATAAAGATAGGAATGAAATTCCAAGGAAAAGGAAAGCAGGTAAAAGATGAAAAGACACAACTTATTTCTGAAGCTTTAGAGATGCAAACTTGGGAACAAAGCGACAAATGACAAAAGGTTAATTAGGTGCTGTCGGATGGCATATTACTCTGAACCCTAAAAAAAATAACGAGTAATTTTTATTTTTTTTGTATAACAATAACGAGTAATTTTGAACACGAGTCACAAGGACTTTTTTACTAATCATTGTTTTTAATCTTAGCACAATAATATTACCCAACATAAACTGACCATTACATATTTTATTTGATTGACAGGAAATTACCAATATCTATGAAAAAGAAGAGGCATGGAACGAAATAAGGGACTTTCTTAATTAAACGTAGTCAAAAGAAAACATAACAAATTCTGCACAAATGGTTAGCTGAGATAAACTTGAACAAAATCATTTACATGCAATTAAACATCAGTTTGGATTCAGAGTTGGAAAATGTCAAACCATAGTTCAAATGGTAATCATGTTTTCTAGCTGGCAGCCCTGCAGCAAGTAAAAGTAAAGCCAAGTGTAGCATGTATATCATTGACAGCATGCCAAAGATAGAGTTTGATTGAACTTATGCACCGTGATTATCCCAATTTTTCATCAAGCGACACCAAGTTAAACTATGATGATGAAAGGAACCAAAAACATGTGGTATCTAAAACTGGAGTTCCGGTAGTTAAACTGCAAATAAAATAAATCAAAACAGGATGGAAAAAGATGGGAATACCCGAACCCCAAGGCTTGTCAGGCAATAGTGCACCCCAACCAAGTTAAGCAGCACATTCATTTCAGGGTTGAACAGGAACCTCTGTACGTCTTCAAAACCAAACCTCGTACTATTCAAGATTTCAACAGCTTTCAGATAGTCCCCAACCTCAAGTGATTCATAACGTGTCCAAGCTTCCAAGAACTTATCAACAGACCTTGCTGTAATTCCCAACTTGACGTGCCTCTCGAAGTACAATTTCCTCCATTTCTGCAACTCAATTTCCAAGCAAACAATAACTGCATAACAGTAACCACTACTCATGCCTCTAAAATAGCAGAACCACAACGATAATTTAAAAACAAGGGACCAAGAACTTTCCTTCTAAGCTTAAAAAACAGTAGAATATAAAAAGGAAAAAAAAAAAACTTTGGGGATCGGATGATTACCAAGAGTCCTAATTCAAAAGCCATTAGAAGAAAAGTATCAAACTTTGGTTAAATAAGGTTGAAAAACGAAATGGGTCATCCTCTGAAACAGGAAAATCTGTGGATACCTTGAAATTGGGAGAGTTAGTGAAAGAAGAAGATGATGAAACAGGGAAATCGAAGGAAGCGAGTAAAGGCCATCTGTTTCTGACTAGAAACTCCCAAATGCAATCTGAGAAGCAGAGTTCCCTCCAGAACCTGGAACAACAACCCAAGGCACACAAATCCCGCACCTTTTGCACCAAATGGAAAACGGAAAACAAGTTAAAGAATGAATTGATAATCGGAATCACAATTTCGGGGGTTTCCGAATTCGAACCTGAAGAAGCGAAGCAATTTTGATGGCAACATCTTCAGGAAGGGAACTGAGGATGGAAAAAGAACACAGTTTTCCTTTATCCATGAGTTGCAATTTGAAAATCAAATGAAAGGGCCAGTGTAATTAGGTTTTTATCATTTTTGCAACCGGTTTATGCAGTTAGTGCATATAAGAACTGGTTATTGTAAGGGAACCATTGGAGTACTAGGACACAGATTAAAATTTTTAAGAGTTATAAGAATTTAATTACAAATTTTTTTAAATATAACACGTAATTAAAAGTTCTCAAATTATATATAAACCTACAGGTTAATTTGTTTTTTCCTTTATTGTATTGACATGTATAACTTGATTAAATTAAACTAAATTAATCTTGTTTGTGGTCTTATTAACCTGATAATTCTAACCTGATGTTCAAAAAAATAAAAAAGAAGCAGCCTAATTTGGTATTTATCATGTTATTTTTTAGGTGAAGTGTCATGTAATTTAATTGTTTGGATTTTTCATGATTTGCTTTATAGTGTATATACAGGACTAAACCAACGTTATTAACTGAATCACCTTACATATAAATGTAATATATACCGGAAGGATATTGTAACAACCAAGTTATGTTACTACTATGTAAGAGTGGCAATATGGGTTGAGCCCAGTGGGTCAACCCGCCAACCCGCCAAAATGGGGCGGGTTGGGTTGAGGTTTTCAACCCACCAACCCACCTCAACCCACCAACCCACCTCAACCCGCCCCGCCTAGAAATGGGTCAAAACGGGTTCAACCCGCCGCGGGGCGGGTTGACCCGTCAGGTTATAAAATTTTTTATTTTTATTTTTTACAATTAGGTAGTATTTCATTAGTCCTTAAATTTTTGTGATATCTAATTTTTTTTTAATCTTAGTACTTCCTAAAAAAAATAAAGAATAACAAATTTATTTATGAGAAATGTTATCTAGATATAAGTTCCTAAAGAATGTTTGACAAATATTAGTATACATTTAAGATTGAGACTAAAAAAATATAGAAAAGTGTGAAATAAAATAAAATAATATTAGAAAAATTCATAAAATATAATTTATTTTTGAATTTTAATTAATTTTTTTTAATTGGTGGGTTGGTGGGTTGACCCGCCAACCCACCATAAAACAGGGTAGGTTCATTTTTCCAACCCATATTTTTTGGCGGGTCAACCCGCCCCGCCCCGTTTTTGGTGGGTTGGTGGCGGGGCGGGGCGGGTCAACTCAAATTGCCACCCCTACTACTATGTTACTACCAATCAATCTTACCGTTAGATCGGTTATGTTAATCTAACGGTTATATTTATTTCTATCTTTGGATGGTCATGATTTTCTAAATTTAATACTTTATATTTATTTTCACATTTGTATGGTTATGATTTTCCATATTTAATGCTTTCACTTTAAATATGGGGAATCATAACCATACAAAGATGGAAATAAGTATAACCGTTGGATCAACATAACTGATTTAACGGTGAGATTGATTGGTAGTAACATGGTAATAACACAACTTGGTTATTACAATATCTTTTCTCTCTCTCTCTCTCTATATATATATATATATATATATGGGCAGGATCCTTTGACACCGGTATCAAACTTTAAAATTTGACACCAAATCCTAACTGTTGATTTCCGTCAATCAACGGTTATCATTTATTGAGAATTACACTTATTAATTAATCATTAATGCCAATAAATAATAACCGTTGATTGACGAAAATCAACGGTTAGGATTCATTATCATTATAAATTTATGGTTTAGAAACTGATCAATCTGTAGATTGTAATTCAATATATTCGGTCTATACGACCTCATAATTTATGATTTAGTTTGATTGGTTGGAAGTTAACCCGTAAATCAAATCAAATCAGACTAATTACCCATAAATTTTGAAATGTCAAAAGAAGAAGCGTGAAGGAACATCTATCTTTTCTTAGTCATCTCATGTGATGGAGTGAAGTGTTGGTCTTTAAACTCTTATCTTTTGACAATTTTATTACTTGATGGTTCTGTTTTTCTTTTTTTATAGCACTAAATACAGTTTCAGTATGAGAAAATGATAGGTGACGATTCCGAATAAAATGGAGTGATTCTCTCTTGTATAAAAATAGTCATATGATTATATTATTTGATAATAATTATTCATTGATGATGAGATAAGAGAGAGAATTGTATAATTTTTAAATGAATAGTTATAATCAAATAACATGATCACATGACCATCTTTTCACACAGAAAATCCACTCTCGAATGAAATAGGGTATAGACATATTAGTGAGTGATCCAAAAAATGTGCAAATGAGAACTGAAGCAGTATAGTTGAAGTTCCATATCGGTAAAGTTAAGAAACAGCATGGGAGAGAGACACTATAAAAACTAAAGTATGATATGCTGCTGACTAGGTCCTGATAAATTTTTGGTACCACTTTTGTATTTAAATAGGTACAATATTTTTTCAATTTTGAAAAAAAGTGCAATGTGATAGGAATTTTTTTTTTTGTAAAGTAATGAAATTTTTTCTAAAAATGAAAAAATATTATACCCACTTAAGTACAACAATGCTATCAAAGATTTATTCGAGAGATAGAGATTGTGGGACCTACACTTGTTTTGTTTTGTTTTTAAAAAAAAACAAGTGTGGGTCCCGCAATTCCTATCTCTATAACATAATTTAACAAGTTTCCTACGATATTATTCTTCTTTTCCCTTATTTTTATGGTCATAAAGATGTGACGGATATTTTTCTAATCCTACCTAAATTTTTATGTGAAAATAAATAAATAAAATGACCAGCTGCAATCCCAAAGATACCTTTCTCATGGGAAGGTGGATTACAGAAAATTATATGGACCTTGTGTATGGGTTCAGTTAACTTCAAAGAATGAATGACTAATACACATTTTGATAAACTTCTCATGGTGATAAGTGTTCAAAGGTGGATATTTTTTTTTTAAAGCAAACATATGTTACGTACAAGCAAAGCTAACAAAAGTATACTCATATATAGGTATGAAATTCCCAAAATATTTCAACTTCCATGCTACTATGCTATATTTCCCCTCAAAATCAACATAGACAGCTAGAAAATCTCTTCAATAAATATGTGTTACACGCATAGTTATTAAAATTGGACTGACCCGGTTGGGTCGACTCGAGAACTGATAAATCGATCATATAATCGGTCCGGTTGAAGACTCGAGAACTGATAAATCGATCATATAACCGGTCCGGTTGAAGCAACGGATCAGCCATGCATCAGAACCGGTCCGACCCGGCCGATTTTCATGAAACCGATGACCCGACCCGGTTCTAAAAAAAAAATCATAATGGACATATTTAAATATTTTTTTGTTTATTGACTTACATAAGTTATGTACCTACAACACTAATATTATCTCAATTGTGCATTATGCAGAAATTTTGATTTGATTTATAGTTAAAGATGTCATTTTCTGAATTTAAAGCCTCGTATCACGATCGTTATATTTTTATTTGATCCTTTATTGGATAATAATATGTTATTTATTATTTTTTATATTAAAATATTTGAAAATTTTATTTTTTTTTTAGATATTTGAGTATATTTATATTTTTTTTTTATAATTACCGGGTCATGCAGTTAAACCAATGACCCACTGATTCAGTACATCAATCAGATCAATGACCGAGTCAATTTTAATAATATTGGTCACACTTATCAAAGCTACACATACGACAAATTTGGAGTGATAGACATATGAAATGAAAAAGTACCTCACGACCAAGAACCCCAGTACTTCTGAGACCTACAAGAGTAGCAACAACTAGCTATCAAAGACACAGAAAAAGATGTTGACTTTAAAGCCCAAGAATGAGACTAACAATTTCTTGGGCTTACAACAGAGGATCCCTAGACTCACAGGGTTTTGAGAAATGCCCAAACTAAACTGTCTTCAAAGCCCACAATGCATAACAGTAATGGCAGAAAAAACGACAACGGTTTTAGAAAAATATAATTCAATTTAGTAACATAAAATACTTCAGGCAAATAGTTAATATTCTTCAATGTTACTGAAAATTCTAAAATTTCAAGTCTTTGAAGTTTGAACAACTATTTGTTTGATCTATTTTTATTAAAAAAAAAGAAAATATCTTAGCTTGTTTATATTTTTAAAAAATTGGTTATAAATTGCAAGTAAAAGGCATAAAATACAATGTTGTCAGCTTAACCAAACAACTATGGACTCATTTGAAAGAGGAATAATTTGGCTTTGTAATAAGATGCAGTCAATGTATCCACACAAAAAAAAGACGTAGTTAATGGTCTATCCAGTGAACTCAAAAAGCGTGACTTGCGGCAAACCCTGTTTAAAAACTTATCAAGTGAAGAATTTTTTGGCAAAAAAAAAAAAATGAATGTGTAAAGTTACTGGTTCATATGAAATTGTGTAGATAAAATATTGATGTTATGGTGTATAAATTTAAAAATAAATTTAATGATGTAGAAAAACAAATTTATGCTACATATATATTGTCCGTTAGGTGCTGTTTGGTTGGGGCTTTCTTAAAATTTGTTCATGCAAATGAATTTGGGTATAGTCGAAGTCCTTGTTTGGTACGCAGATTCTTAAAATTTTCCCACCTATTCTACTTGCATAGCAAAGCAGGATTGGTCGTAGAAATCCAGCAACAGTCACTGTTTAGATAGACATCTGAGACATGGTTTTTGCTGGTTAGTCGGGTAAATGCGGAAGATGAAAGGCAACCCAGACCAAAATACCCCTGTGAAGCGCAAAGAAAGATTCGAAGAAAGATTATGTTATCTTTCTTGTCTGCAGCGTCCGTGAGTGCATAAACTTATCTTCCTTGTGAATGTGGTAAAATTTGCAAATCTGCAAACAGCATCCGGAAGAAGTGATACCAGCTTTTTCTGAAATTTTCGCATAGTTAATAGTTTATCTTCCTTGACTCTTGTAATCCTTTCCTAAAACTCTACAGTTTAGACCCAAGTCCTTATGTTTAGATCGATAATGTAGCAAGCTCTCAACAAATGCTCCATTCTCGATTCAGCAACATCCACACAAAAAAATCCATTTTACAAGCTTCAGCCAGTTGATGACATGCAAAATAGAAACACCAGTTTCGGTTGAGAATAGAACAACAAGATGGAGGTGGTGGGAATTTTGGGTTTAGAGAATAGAGAACTAGATGAGTTGGTTTCTAATATATATGTATATGGGTTTTCGTTTTATCATTTAACATAACACAACAAACTTTTCTACACTCACAACATTTTGTGGGGTCCACACTTTTTAAAACAAAAAAATAAATAAAAAATTAAGGCACGCAAAACGAGTCTCTATAACATTACACAGTCACTTTTCCTACAACATAATTCTTATAAAATCCTATATATATATATATATATATATATATATATATATATATGTTAAAGATGATGGTTGAGTGATTGCCATGTGTTCTCTTGATAGAAGTATATGGCAGACATGCAGAGGAGGTGGGTGAGCTTTGAAAATTCTGAAGTTGTGATCTTAAGAAATACTGAAGTTCTGATATATATATAAATATATATATATTATTGGGGTTATATTTGTAAATTTATATCATTTACCCGTTAATATTTTTTCCTCAACCAAACATACATATCAAAAAATTTAATTAATTTGCCTGGTAAAATTTGTCCCAACCAAACAACTTTTTTTAACTTTTTTATCTAATTCATTTTCCTTGTAGATTCTTAGTAATTATATTTTCTTGGTGAAGTAAAATTTTCACTTGAACCAAACACCACCTTAATGCCATCTTATCCGAAACTTTATATGCGTGAAACCCTTATGAAATAATAATATAAAACTATCTACAAAACTTACCTCCACTCACCAAAAAGGATGAAAAGAACTCACCAAATCATGTAGGATATATAAAAAAGTTGAGTTTATTCTGTAAATAAAGGTATTTTGTAGGATTATTGGGAAATTGATTTTTTCTTTATTTTAATTTTCAGATATTATCGTAAACTGAATATTTTCATCATATTTATAAAAATCAAAATTTTCGAATAAAAAAAAAATTCTCTCGTATCAAACGCTTCCGGATGATAAACAACAAAACATAGATGTGCGTAGCTTCCCAATGGCAATGTATTAGTACTTCGTCCATATTCAATTCCATGGACAGCTCAGATAGAAAATTTTATTACTTTTGGAGTATGTTGTTGTCTAATGTATGTCATGATATAACATAATTGAAGGGGACAATTCAATCTGTCTAGGGACAGTTTAGGCTCACCTATCTTAACAACCTTGTTTTCTTGTAGCTGTCCTTATACTTCTACACTTTCATCCCTTGTGGAGAAGATAGTGGGTTACGATTATGAAAGCAATCAATCTTACTTGTCCAGCTTTTTTATGATTTTAGGGTAATACATCTATCATGTAATATGATAGAGAAAACAATTATCACTGACCCATCGAACATCGTGCTAACATTTCTTTTGTTTTTTAATTTGTTTTTTACAGTGGGCCCACCAAAATTTGTTTGTGCAAAAACTTGTTTTCCAATCCTATTTCATGACATATATATTCCCCATGATTTTATCCACTGAATAAGCGTGGCAGAGAAAATTGCCCATAAATCCTATGGCATTGCCACGTGGCACATAATTAGTTGATCCCTCAACTGCTGCGATCAAGCCTTCATTAGGTATCTGCATAATATTTTCACTTTTACTCCTACTTGATTGTTCTTGTCTTTTTTTTGATTTTATTTTTTGATTTGTACTTTTTTTTTATTTAAGCCCAATTAGATTAAGCGTATGAAAAGAGTCCAAAAAAATCTAGATAGCAAAGAGTTCAGGGCTAGGATATTTGGTATTCATAAATATTATCACTTAAGTTATCAGCCTCCTAAGTTGGTTATTGAATAAGAGAGGTAAGTTCAGATTTGAAAAAGTGCTTACATATTTTTCCCTTAAGTCATAGTTTGGAAGATCTACCACTAACCAGCCTCAAGGAGATTATTCGTATAGAGTAGAGCAGTTTGTGAAGAGAATCAAACACGAGAAGATATTGAATAGATCTGAGCGACAAAAGGTAAATACAAAATGATGATGATCCATTGCATCCCAAACCGATTTCATCTAAATATTATCGTAGATCTAATTGCGCCTACATTTTTATCATTGAGTTTTTACATATGGTTCATTTTTTCTAAAGTTACTTTAGACAACTTTGTCTAATGTTCACCGAAATGACATAGTTTTGAGGCGAAAATCATGGCATATTTGTAATTTTAATTTATTTCAAATTTATAATAGTCTTTATCATTCTAATTTTTTAATTTTTTAACCCAAAATAACGTTGTTTTGGTAAACATTAAACAAAATTGTCTAAAGTAACATTAGATAATTTTTTTCATATATATATGGTTTAAAGTTTCTAAAGTTACTTTAAATAACTTTATCTAATGTTCATCAAAATATACACAAAAAATATATGGGGCCCATGTGGACTCATGTGAAGAGAAGAGAGAGAAAAAAAATGTTCAACACACTTTTTTATGTGTATTTTGATAAACATTAAATAAAGTTATCTAAAGTAATTTTAGAAATTTTAAACCATATATATATATAAATATAATTTAGTGTTTCTCATATTGTCGGATATAATTTTATTTTCTATACACATATAAAAGTGTGTGGGTCCATGTGGGGCTATGTAAGGAGAATATAGAGAAAAAAAGAAAATATAACTAGCACATACTTTTATGTATGTATACGACGTGTACGAGATAAAATTATTTCTTATAATATAAGAAAAATAAAGCCTATATATATAACTATCTCTTATAATATGAGAAAAATAAAGCATATATATATATATATATATATATATATATATATATATATAAGATATGATATTGTTACTAGCAATTAGTATTATTGCCAATGTCTCTACAGTTTATTTCACCGTTTGATCGATTATCGATTTTGATTTAATTTTTTAAAAACCTTTTTTCTTCTCTCTATATTTAATGTTTTATATTTATTTTTATCTTTGTATGGTTATGATTCTCCATATTTAATGTGAAATAAATATAATCGTTGGATCAATATAATCGATCTAATGGTAAAATAAACTGGTAGTGTTATTGATAGTAATACTAATTAGTAGTAATAATATCCTATCTCTATATAAGATATGATATATATTGCTTTAGGATGAAATAAAGATTAAATGTTTCTCTAAAATACTTCTCAAATGATTGGATTTTTTAACTTAAGATTTAAACAATCATTTTTAACCTGAACTAGCATCCATTAAATATCATAGAGTTTATTTGAACTTAGATACTTAAGGAAGGAAAATGAAATATTAATTATTATTTCATATTATTTTAGTTGTTATATTACTTTTATTTATATATTTATTATATATTTTTATATAAATTTAATTTAAGCGATTTAACTATTGAATCAATAACTCATTGTCCGAATACCCTGATCGATTAGATAACCCATAACCCATCTCAATTTAATAATTTAATCCTCACAATTCCATTTTGGTCCAGAAAGTAATGTCCGAACTGAACAGTTAGTACAACCAAAAGGTCCAAACAGGATCCAAAAAATGTAATAAATTACGTATTTATTGCTAATGACGATGAACCAAAGAACCTGGGTTACGTAATAGAAGCGATTTGTGCTCTTTTAAGGAAAAAATACGTGTTTAATCATTTAAATTTTGTGAAGGGATAATTGGTCCCGACTTAAAAGAATCTGCATTTTAAAGTGAGTGGCTGCTAATATATCCCAAACTCTCTTTTTGTGAATGTTCTTCTTCTTATTACTATTATTATTATTATTATTATAATAAGGGAAAAACATTTGCGATTTTAAATGATATAAATTTATATCATTTTAAATATTAATAGTTGATTTTCGTGAATTAATGATTATAATTTATTGGTTCAAATTTATTAATTAATTAGTAATTCACAATAAATTATAGCCATTAAATGACGAAAATCAACTTAAGATCTAAAATGATACAAAATTATATATTTTAAAAAAAAATACTTTTTCCTTATTATAATAAGTAATATGTTTTTCAAATCTCATGCAATACATAAAAAGAGTGTGATTCACTTTTTTCTTTTTCTTTCTTCTCCTTAATAGGTTCCATCTTTTTTTTATGTATTATTTGAGACAAATTATCTAATGCAATATAAAAAATAAATTTCCCTATTATAATTATGAGATTAATATTTTTTATATTTTAGAAGATAATTTTATCTATATATACATAAAAATATCTGAAACCTTACCCAACCCAGGTAAAGAGGAGAAAAAGAAAAAGAAAATATGTCCCATTGATCCCCATAATTATTTTTATATAAAAAAAAGAAGAAGCAATGCAAATATGCAGTAACCAGGGGAAGCCATCATGCAGCTAAGTATACATGGGACCTACTGTTCCATCCCACCAACTCAGCCAATTGTATTTTTCCATTTTAAAATTAAAACAAAAACTTTACTCTGACCACGACAAAAAGAAGAAGAAGCAACTTTCGTGTCTGACTTTGATTGGTTGGTGCTGGTTTTCCAATGGAAGCTTCCTTTCTGGATACCAACCCAATACTACAAAAAAAAAAACCAGACTTACTACACATGGTGGTAGGGAGTGAAAAAAAAAATAAAAATGGAAAGAGAGACACCATTGTACTTATGAGGGAGGAAGTGGTAAAAGGGAGATCCAAACCCAACATTATTAAATTTATCTAGTTTCTAAAGCATTATTTTCTCTGCACAAAGCCTCAAACATTTGAATCTGGTATACCCACAACTATAACTATAATATAACTGTTTTCAACTTTGATCTTCCTCCATATACATATCCAGTCCACAATCCAAAAGGGTCAAGAAGAGGAAACCCACCTCCAAAAGAACACAGCAGGAATAACAACAAAAGGAACTTCACAAGGGGAAAAAAAAGCAAGTCTTATTTTACTGTTTTTTTTGTTTTCTGCCTTTTTTTTTCCCCTTCTTTTCTTTTCTTTTCTTTTCTTTTCTTTTCTGGGTGTATGTCTGACTGGTATTAGCTCATTTTCTTTGACTGCAGCACAATTTGTGGGGTGACTCCAAATCATTGCTCTCTCACTTTTGTCTGGTAAAGTTAGGGTCTTTTGAATTAGCGTTTGCTCATTCCTTTGATTAGAACCCCTTTCAGCTTTTTAAGATCGGTGGGGGAAACTATTATTAGGTTTGATTCTGATGTGCTGTGGTGTTTGGATGGCAAGAAAATGAGGGAAAATGTGATTGTGGCAAGTGAGGGAATGTGAGGAGGAGGAGGAGGAGGAAGAAGAAGAAGAAGGGGTTGAGTAAATGAGTATTTTGAGACATGGGGTGTGTGTTTGGGAAAGAGGCATCAGAGAGAAGGAGGAAAGAGGAAGTGAAAGTTGAAAGAGCAGAAGAGGGTAAGGGTGAGGTTAAGAATGATGGGAATGGGAAGGAGGGTGGAGAGGAAGAGAAGAGGAGGAGGGCAAGGGGGGAGAGGATGCGATCTTCGAAGCCGAATCCAAGGTTAAGCAATCCACCTAACCATGTACATGGTGAGCAAGTGGCTGCAGGTTGGCCCTCTTGGCTCTCCAAGGTTGCTGGGGAAGCTATAAATGGTTTGACCCCTCGAAGGGCAGACACTTTTGAGAAGCTTGATAAGGTAAGCCAGCTAATGGCTACTTTGCTTTGTTGCCAATTTAAGTTTGTGGAATTAGTTATCTTGATTTGAATTTTGAACAGCTTATTGCTTGTGTTGTTCTGTTTTCAAATGTAAGCATCATCTAAAAATAGTAATATGGATTTCAGACATGGTGACTTGGGGTTTTCTTTTGTTATTTTGAAACTTATAGATTGAATCTCTCACTGGCTTTTGTACAACTTTTCAATCAGATTGGACAAGGTACATATAGCAATGTTTACAAAGCTAGGGATACTTTAACAGGGAAAATTGTTGCCCTAAAGAAGGTCCGCTTTGACAATCTGGAGCCTGAGAGTGTGAAATTTATGGCCAGAGAGATTCTGATTCTGCGTCGTCTGGATCATCCCAATGTTCTCAAACTGGAAGGTTTAGTGACTTCTAGAATGTCATGCAGTTTGTATCTTGTGTTTGAATACATGGAGCATGACTTGGCTGGACTTGCAACAAGCCCAACAATCAAGTTTACCGAGTCTCAGGTATTGACATCTTTACCTTGTTATTTGCAAGTTCTGGACTTCTGGTTGGTTGAAATTCATGATTCAGAAAAAAAAAAAAGTTTCTTGATTTGGAACTTATTTTCCTGATTATAACTAGGTATTTTAGGTTAAATGTTACATGCATCAGCTATTTTCTGGACTGGAACACTGTCACAACCGTCATGTGTTGCATCGTGATATAAAGGGGTCAAATCTTCTTATTGACAATGAAGGAATCCTTAGGATTGCTGATTTTGGATTAGCTTCCTTCTTCGATCCTAATCACAAGCACCCAATGACCAGCAGGGTGGTTACTTTATGGTATCGACCTCCAGAACTTCTTCTGGGAGCCACTGATTATGGTGTTGGAGTGGACCTCTGGAGTGCTGGCTGCATTCTTGCTGAATTGTTGGCTGGAAAGCCTATTATGCCTGGTCGAACGGAGGTAATCTCTAAATGATTGCTTTCATTTTATAGTTTCTCTAGGATCATCTTTCAAGAATATAAGATGTTTTCACTTTACCAGTCAATGCTGCAAGATTTTGTTGTTCTTGGCTTCTTGATTTTCTGCAACTTGTTTGTGAGGTTAGTCCTTCTGACTTTGCTGATATAATGTACTTTGTGCTTCATAGGTGGAGCAGCTACATAAGATATTTAAGCTATGTGGGTCTCCTTCTGAAGAATATTGGAAAAAGTCGAAGTTGCCGCATGCTACCATTTTTAAGCCCCAACAATCATACAAGCGGTGCATAGCAGAGACATTTAAAGATTTCCCATCATCATCTATGCCCCTAATTGAGACCCTTCTCGCAATTGATCCAGCTGAACGTCAAACTGCCACTGCTGCATTGCATAGTGAAGTAAGATAATCATTTAATCACTGAATGAATTTTGTGAACTCACTTATTTCTGGTGATTTTTTTTTATCATAGGTTTGCCACATCTCCTTAAATAGAATAAGTAATTCAGCACCACAATGGCTGGTGCAGTAGTAAGCGAACCACACAAGGGCTCTTGCATTAGGGCCAAAGTTCAAACCCTGGAGAAGGTAATTGTTGGGAGGGCCCCTAGTCTCGAGGTGACTGAGGGGTTACTCTCACATCAATGGCCGTGGGGGATACCAAAGAAAAGAAAAATTAAATCACCAATTTATATCCTAATGAAATAACCATGAAAAACATATTCATCTTTTATTAGCAGGGACAATCTTAAGACGGTTAGATGGCATTTCTTCCTTTTCTCTCCCCCTTTGTTGATGCTAATTAACTAAGTAGGATGCTGCTCATGCTTTTGCAAATATATTTTGTCATAATTATGTAACTCAGATGTGCATTTTATTTGTTGCTTTGTTTATACCATATATCACCAACTGTCAACATTTTGATTGCTATAGAATACATTCCTCTACTCTCGCAATCTAAGTTCCGGACTGCCATGAACTTCACTGGAATCTGTTTGTTTTCTACTTCAATTGTTTTTTAAAACAACAAAGAGAAAGCTGTTTTATTTTCTGCTTTTACTCTATATTGTAAGAGAAGTGGGATTGCTTTCTACTTATAGGAAATGACAGAGATAGCAATATGCTGGTGCTTGTATATTTTTTTAAGTATGAGATATGATGAATTGTGCTTAAAATCCGTAATGTTCCTATAATTGAATTACGGATCCTAGTTTAATGTGAATTGCTTCTCTTGTGTAGTTCTTTACAACAAGACCTTATGCTTGTGAGCCCTCTAGCCTTCCAAAATATCCTCCAAGCAAAGAGATGGATGCAAGGCTACGGGATGAAGAAGCTAGAAGGTGGATAGCTCAAATTACTATTGACATTTGAACAATGATTTCATCAAGATTTTCTCTGGTCTAAGCACAAACTCATATGGAAATTTTCTGAATTTTTAATGAATCTTTCAAATATCTTATGAATTCTTTTGCATAAAAATTTGACAAAGTTCATATATTGGGTTATTTTGCCATTCAGTTCACTTCTGTATTTTGTTTTTCCTTATTTGATGGAGGAAATTGTGAGGCATGTATATAACTTCAAACAAATTTATTTAGTTATCCTTCTCCATCTGAACTTTCTCTATCTCACAATAATAAACTGTATGGATGGAGCACTTGAACTTGAATATTTATGTTTTTCCAAAAAAGTTGAACATTCACACATTTCAATACTTCAATTTCAATGTTTCATGAATGTAGATTGAGAGCTGCTCGTAAAGTTAATGTTGATGGTGTCAAAAAATCTCGACCACGTGATCGAGGTGGAAGGGGAATTCCAGTTCCAGACGCCAATGCTGAGCTGCAAGCAAATATTGATGTATGTCAGATAAGGCACATCATTCATTTAAGCAAACACTTCTAATTGCTTATGATTATTGTGATGAAATTAATTTGTCAATTAACAGTAACGAAGTACATATCAACTTAATATATAGGGTTATATTTATCTTATGTTGCATAGGAAAAACAAGCTTCCTACACACACAAAGTGGATATGGGTCCCACATCTATTTTTTCTTTCTCCTCTTACATGTGGGTCCCACTTATAATTTTATATCTATAACATGAGACAATCATTTTCCTACAACATAAGATAAATATAACCCTAATATATATCATTTTATTCATTTTCCGCTTGGCTTGCTTTTGTTGATTAATTTTATTGATTAATTTACTGACTTGGTCATTATTTTCACTGATAAAGAAGAGTTTGCATGGTCATTTTGGGAGGAAAATTTGTCTTGGTGAAAACTTTGTTCTTATTGGTGAAAGTGATTCTGGGAAACTTTCATCTTCAGTTGCATCTATCTGCCTCAAATAGAAACATGTATTGTCATGGTCCTCATGGATCTTCTTTTATCCCCATCCCCTTCACTTCTCTTTATAATTTTGCTTTTTAGGTCAGCTTTTAGTGGTACAGATGATCTACCAATTAAAGAACTATTGTTTAAGTTGTGGCTTACATGATCTGCACTTGTTATTGATGTCCCAGTTAACTATCAAATAAAGAGTTTTGCCAACTTTATAAAGTGGCACTGATTTATACATGGGGTTGGTTTATATCACATCTTTCTTCTGCTTCTATATAACTGTGGTAATGGTTTAACTCTAATTGCAGAGATGGCGACTGATAACACATGCAAATGCCAAGAGCAAGAGTGAGAAGTTTCCTCCTCCCCACCAAGATGGAACTCTAGGCTATCCTTTGGGTTCTTCTCAACACATGGATCCAGCTTTTGATCCTCCTGATGTTCCATTTAGTTCCACTAACTTCTCACAGACAAAAGCAAATATCCAAACCTGGTCTGGCCCCTTGGTGGAACCTAGTGTGGGTGCTCCCAAGAGAAAGAAGAACATGGCACGTGATGGACATATACACTCCAAGTCATCCAAGAAAGACTCAAATAGGTAGAATGTGTCAGTAGAAAAAAAAAATTAAAAAAAGAAATGGAGAGTTGCTGTGTATCACCAATCATTTTTCACAAGTATTCATGAAGTTGAAAATGCTGCTGATTCAATGTCTCACATCCATTGGCACCAGTCACCAGAGAGGTAGAAGATATTGTATTTCCTGCTCCCATTTCTTTCTCAATGATCAAAGGTTTATTCTCTATCTTTCATATCTTATATTTTTTTTCTTCTTCTTCTTAAGTTAAATAGTTCAATGAACATCTAATCATTAGGTTTTGGAAACAGTGTCCGTGGTCTATATTTCTTCCTAATTTTGTTACTTATAACGTTCACCCCATAATTTTTCTCCCTTTAGCCTCTGCTTTCCATAAACATGTGAATTGTGCAGAATTTATAAATAGTTTTTGCTTTAAAGATTTTTTTGCTTCTTATTATTCGCTCCCTATTGTCTTCTTTAAGCTTTGGTATATCACCTCCTGTTTATTATTCAAATTCTAGCCGGTCATGTAGCCTTGTTGCAATTGGGATCATTTGGGGGATAAATTAATGATTTGTGATAGCATTCGTGTGACATTTTCCTTTTTGTGTGACCAAATAAAATACTAAAAAATGGATCTATGTTTTTCTTTTGGAATTCCTTTTCAATGAACTATCAAATGTTTTTGTGTCTGGTAAAACAAATCTAAAAGAGTAGCTTGGAACAGGGAGTAAGTTGATATTTGCTTTTGGCATCATTAGAAATATCAAGTGATGTCCTTAATGCCATTTCTGATACAATGCCTAAAAATAAGTTACATGGATTCTATTCTGAACTCACTGTGGAAGTATTGACGCTAAGGTAATAAATATTGTGAATACATCATTACGGGCTATGATTATACAAAGTCTTACTAAACGTTGAAAATGAATTTCAGGAGGAGCTGCGTAGAATTTAATACACTTGTTTAAATATAAATAATAAGACTTAATATTCCTTGGTAATTAGAGAAATGAGAGAAATATTAATATGACACCGACGCTAATAAATTTTTTTATGTTGGATTTTCACATAATATTCTCAAATGAAAATTCCATGTTTATTTATCTTTTTTGGATATTCATAAATTTTTCTCTTTTTGGATGTTAAATGTCTACGGAATAATATCTATAAGGGAAAAGGTTTATATGATAAATTGATAATTTCACATTAGAGGATCTCTAACGGTGGTAATGTTTTATTCAAGAAAGCATTTAGTTATGCACTCTTGGTAGGTATAGAACTCGATCTCATCCAGCTAGCAACAGGATTCTATAACATAGTTAACAGGGATGGCTATGAACCAGTTGCGTAAATGTTTGCTAGGAACTCATGCAGAATGATATTACCTGGAATTACCAAATTCCATTCTGCTATTTGCTCAAGCCAAAGGCTATCACAGTCAGACCATAAATTTCATGTTTTAATAAATTAATCATTAAAAAGGCTAAAGATTAATTGCATTATTTTAAATTCATTGATAAGTTCTGTTTTTCAACGTAGCATTTCATTTTACTGTACTACGTCCAGTAATTCCTGGCTTTCTGCTGCACTGCTTGATTACTTGATATTTATGTCAATCCATGGAGTAAAAGAGAAATTTTATATTGATAAAATATATCATTCTTCAAGGAAACTATTATTTATGCCTGAATAAAGACACCAATATAAAAATAAAAACCTTAATTCAATTTGGCAAGGAAGCCAAGATTGATAATATTGATTTTATAGCTTAGACTAAATTGCATGCCTTCATTAATATCAAAGTTGCATCAAGTTCATACGAATAGCGGGGATCAGATGCAATATCATGCTGGCAATGGAATAAATTCAATATTAAGGCTTCAAGCTAAAAGCTACTTAAAGAGAGTAGGAGGAAACAAATTGCAAACATTGACAAAGAAATAACATCCTCACAAAATACTCGACTTCAAAAAAGAAAAGCAAGAAAAAAAAATCATGATGAAATAACATAAAGATGCTAAAGTTCATGCACTAACTTCTGCTAGCATTTCTTACTCTATGTATAGGAAAATATTTCACTACCTAATCCTTCTTTTTTGTTATTGTCAGTCATATTCTTCAGGTTGCTCAGTGTGACCCGGGAGTGAAAGTAGAGACTCTGTGTACATAGTCACTTGGCATCCATGTGAATCATTACAATACTCTTGTAGCAGTCCTTTATCATTATATTTAACAAATCCTTTAGTACCGTCTAGTCCAACAATATCACCATTTTTTGTAGAGCATATTGGGGAAAAGTATTGAGTAGGAATGTCATTAGTAGACACAGTAATGGCCTTAGTCCAAGACGAGTGCACTTTGTATTCTTCCATCACCCATATATCAGTTGTACCCTCCCCTATAGCCCATAGACTGAGAAATCCTCCAAGAACCCACAATTCACAAGATTCAAAGTCGTCGAAAAAATCATCTGGCAGGGGTATCTCTGAACAACTCCTTTCCGTTAAATCAAAGGCAACAATAACATTCACTGATAAATCATAATTCCAAACCAACCAATGAATAGCCCCATTCAATAACGATCCAACTCTGGCATCATCGCATGAATTCATATATGGAAAATGGGCACCCTCAATTTGTTTCCATGTATTAGTTCTCAATGAGAAAATCTCCATGTGGGTTGTCAAATCAGCACCTGGATCATAGGACGCTTGCACCACCAAGTAGTCATCTGTTGATGGGTCATACCCAAAACCATGTATAAACGTGAAATTGTTGGGCTCCATAGGAGAACAAGATATTCGTCTGTGGACACCTGTGGATGGATTCCATACATAGAGATTTGTATAACAATCCAAAAGTAAAAACCCTATGCAGGAACCTTTAATTTCAGCATGAGGATAAGATTGGGGAAGCAGAAAATCAAGCTTTACCGCAGCAGCAGAAGAATGATTGTAAAGCGGTACATCTGAGTCTATGGACCGAGCTTCAGAAGCAGAAGCCGCTAAGAACACAAGTCTATGGGTTCGTGCAGGGGCTAGTTCAAAATGGGATCTTGCAAAGTGGGGATCGTAGATGAGAGAAAGCCATGACTTAGACACACATTTGAAACGGACAAGAGACTTGACCGGCAACCTCAACAGGATTTGAATTAACAGTTCCTGAGGCATATGCAGGTTCTTGTTCTTCTTGCTCCTCGATCTTCTCGTGTATCTATCTCTCTTCATTTTGGCTTACCTTAACAGGGCATATAACAGGGCTGTTTAGTTTATCAATTTGGCATTTGGTTTATGATATTTATGCATTGGGGTTATTTAATGACCTGTGGGGAATCTGGCATCACTAAGTGTCACAACCCACTCTGGAACGACCTGAAATAAAAAAAATTGAATCTGGCGTCACTAAGTGTCACAATCCAGCAACGACCTGAAATAAAAAAAATTAAAAACAACGGAGGAGTCGTCACCAATTTTATTTATTTTAAAAAAATTGGAAAACCTTTCGTTGCAAACTGGTTTTTAAAATTATAGATCAAAGGTTCGGGAGTCTAATTATGCGTAGGGGTGGAAACTTAATCCCACTGCATCCATGACACATCCATTTTAAAATGGTTACTTTGAATCAATTGTGCGAATTATTAATAGCTTTTAAAAATATTTGTAAAAATATTTGTTTTTCCCCATAAAATATAAATATGATTAAGAAGCAAGCAAACACGGACACGCAATTTTTGAAAATTTTGCGTGTCGGACACGTATCCGACACGGACACGCTCGGACACGCAATCAATTTTTTCCGACACGCGGTCAACGCTCGGACACGCTCGACACGTTTTTTTTAATCTTAATTTAATTTTATTAAATAAATATAAAAAAATTATTTATAAATTATTTTTTTTCTATTATGAAATTTGACATGAAAAATTAACAAAGTACAAAAAATTATTTTTATTTATATTTATGTTATGAAATTTAAATATTTGATTGGTTACCTGACTTATTATAGACTCTTATATGTATTAATATAAATTATATTATATATATTAAATTTTTTACTTAATATCAAAACGTGTCCCAACGTGTCGAGATATGACATTTTTTAAAATTAACTTGTCGGCATGTCAAGTCGTGTCGTGTCCCGTGTCAGTGTCCGTGCATCATAGTTAAGAAGAGAAGTAATTTATCAAAACTTTATTTTAGCTTGACGGAAAGAGTTCCGCTCCGACGTATCCTATGGTGCAGTGAAGAAATCAAAGCTACGTCGTTCTTTAAAAATTATCTGTGTACTGGTTGGTTTTAATTTTTAAAAATAATTTTAAAGAAATTATCTTAAAGGCTTCGGATTACCAAGTTGTCACAGCTAAAATAACCCGAAAAATACTACGAGATTAACAAGGCGTCACGCCAAAATTAATCCCTAATTATAAAAAATAAAATAAAATAATAGAAAATAATAAATTTAAAATAGACTTGGGTCATCAAGTTGTCTTAACCAAAATGACCCAAAAATCTAGGAGATTAACAAGGCGTCACGCCAAAATTAATCCCTAATTATAAAAAAAACAAATAATACAAAATAATAAATTTGAAATAGACTTGGGTCACCAAGCTGTCTCAACCAAAATAACCCAAAAAACTATGAGATTGACAAGGCATCATGCCCAAATCAATCTCTAATATAATTTCTAATCTATATAAGAAAATTTCTAATAAAACACGAAAAACAAACAATAAATAGACAATTATAAGAAATTTTTTAACAAATAAAGAATATAAAAGCATACAAAAAAAGAAAATTATTAAGAAATCTGGGGAAATGGATAAAAGAAAACGAGAGACGTGACTGAAAGGCCCTTTTCTAATCTAACCTCATCAGACTGCACATCTATGCCAAGGTTATTTTCTGCTTTCTCCATTGCGCTGAAAGTATCGAAGGTCATTTTCAATCTTCTTCGTTGCACACATCTGTGCATGTTGTAAATAACCCAATGCATTTTCAATCTTCTTTGTTGAACAGATCCAACGCTGTCGGAGATTGTGCGAGAGTGAAGAATCAGTGAAATTGTTGGGTACAGGCGACTATTGAAAAGAAGAGGGGTGTTTCCAACCGATACTGGTGGTGACCGCTCTGGTAAGTATGTGCAGATATTTTTTTTTAATTTTTTTACCGACATTGAAAGGAGATGAAGAGACGAAGACAGATATATGGTTATGGTACTCTGGCTACGTTGGAGGAAAGATGTAACACGCAAAATACTTCTATTCAGATTCAAAAATATAAAAAGGATTACTTTTGTCATTTTACACCACTTTCCCTTCAATGTTTTACCCTCAACCAAACATAGACTTACAAAACTTTAATCAAATTATCCAGTAATATTTCG